GAAGGACCTTTCTGATCCTTCTAAGCTATTGAAGGTGTCTATTACTAGCGCACCCTCAGAATTCCCTGTTTCTAAACAGGTTTGGAGAAACCCTGGACTTTTCCTTGGTTGCGAGAAGATTATCTTGTTTAAAAAACTTCTGTAGTGAAATACCTGTATGTCAGGACCGACGAAAAGTAAACGAAAACCTTCAGAGCCCCCCCCCCGAGACAGAGCCCCCCCCCCTCCCCCAGTTTTGATAATAATTTGGGGGAAACCCAAATCTCTTAAAATTCTGAGATGCGAATTTCAAAGGTCTATATTTCATCCATAAAGACCGTATTAAGGTACTCGTATCTGAATATGGATTTTTATTTTATACCCCCAAAAAGAAACAGCAAATTTGGAACGTAAATTAGAGGAGAACCTCTCCTGTGCTTCTTAAAAATATATGAAGCTGTACTGGATCAGAGATCGGTTTTCATACTGAATCAAATTTGGGGACATCTCATTTTTGGTTCTAAGAACATTACAGTATGTTCCCCAAACCTCTTAAAATTAGACAAAAATTTAGACAGTCTTTATTTCCTGAACACAGGACAGTGCTATGATGTACAAATGCCCATTGAAATATCTGTATGTAAGGATGTGAAATGCCCCACAAGGAAGCAGGAAAGTTTGCACACAGATTGAGTGACAAAGATTAAGTGTTGTAAAGAACTGTATAAAGTTAACACCTTAACCAAACCTGAACCTACATATTTCATATACATTGTACAGCTATTTTTACATCTTTATTTACTTCATATTTATGAGGCAGAATGACGGAAGTAATTTTACAGGACTGGTGACAGAAAGCTCAAGTGTGTGTTTATTTTTCATGATGTTTAATTTGATGTTGAGAAAAGTGTTGTTGGAGGCGGGACCAAACCCGGCGGAAATCCCGCCTTCTTCAGGCTTCTGCCTCCCCAGTCAGGAATAATGACCCACCAACAACCGGACAGCGGACACAACTCCACCTCTTGTCACGGGCGGTCTTTTGTTTAGTTAGTGACTTTTTAAATTAGATTTTTAAACTTTAAATTTCTAACGCATAAAGTTGTGACAAGGGTCATTACTTTAATAAGTGTAATTAATTAGTTTTAAATTAGATTATTAACGTTAAACATAATTCTTGTTTAACATAAGTTATTTTATGAATTTTCTAATTAGATAGTATGTAAAATTTTAAAATTAAAGCTTTTAAATATGTTAGATAAATCTTTTAATGATATAGATAGATGCTAAATTCTATGTTTTTAATATCTAGTGTTTAAAATTTATTGAAAATGTGTGAAAATTTGCAGAGTAACATTTAGTGTCCAGTGGTTTTAGTTTGTTGAGGTACACCAGGTGTTGAGGTCCGGACCTGTACCTGTACAGGTACACAGCCCTACCCACGTACCCTCGCCTGCAAC